TATTCCAGGGTAGACAAGACCTGAATTTCATATGTAAGAAAAACAGCAACACAAACCTGTCACAACTTATTATTGTTATCTATTATTTGTATTACCGTAGCACTGAGGAGCCCTTGTCATGGACCAGGACTCCACTGTGTAGACAACTACCACAAGGGGATCCTGAACCTGAGAATGGTTCGGTACCACTGTAATATAAAATAAAATAGTAATAATGGCACAGTCCTAGGGCAAAAATTGTCAAAGCGCCTAAAACACTTAGAAGCGTAAAAAAAAAGTGCATTTGCAAAAGTGACTTAGACAGGTAGGACCATAAGTCTTTCTTGAAGTCAGTGGGGCTCAGGCTACTTGGTCTTTTTGAAAATGTTATCCCTAACCTTTTTTATCTTTGCCCGTCACCTTTAAAATACAAGTTTTAATAAGTTGCTCACCACAAGGTGGCACCGTTTCTTTGATCTTCACACTAAAGCTCCCAGCATTGGACTCAATCCTAAAACAAATAGCAGGGATCATGTACTATCAGCTTAAACTGTGTCTATCAGCCGGGAGCTCAAGGGCCGGGCAGGATGGTCCCGTGGGCCGGATGTGGCCCGCGGGCCATAGTTTGCCCACCTCTGCCTTATTTTCTGATGCTTACAAACTGATTGTTTGATTATTTGTTCCATTATCTTTCCAAATACCAAAGTGAAGCTGACTGGTCTATAATTCCTTGAGTTGTCCTTATTGTCCTTTTTATAGATAGGTATTATATTTGCCCTTTTCCAGTCTTCTGGGATTTCGCCTGTCCTCCACAAGTTCTCAAAGATAATTGCTAATGGCTCAGAGACCTCTTCTTCCAGTTCCTTAAGTATTCTAGGATGTATTTCATCAGGCTCTGCCAACTTGAAGACATCTAACTTCCTAAGGGCTTGTCTACACTTGAAATGCTTCACTGATGGGAGGGGTTCTCCTGTGGGCATATAATCCACCTCCCACAGGTTCATCAACAAAACAGTGGAGGCGTACACAGTGCAATGCGCCTTCTGCCAACAAAACTCTCTTGCTTTGCTGACAAAATAAAATCACCTCGACAAGAGGCGTAGAGCTTTTTGCAGCAAAGTTATATCAACAAAGTGTCAGTGTAGACACTGCACTTGGTTATGTCGCTGTAAATGGTCTCCATGAGATGTCCCACAATGTCCATCCTGACCGGTCTGGTCAGCACTTTGAACTCCGGTGCCCTGCACCCAGTACACAGGCATCCGTCCCTTTAAAGGCCTGGGAATTTTTGAAATTCCACTTCCTATTTGCTTGGCGTAAACAGCTCACATCGCCTCTTTCCTGCTGACCATGGAGGCTCCACACGGCAAACGCTCTCCCGCTTGGAGCACACCTGAGTTGTTGGATTTGCTGGCACTGTGGGGAGAGAAGGCTGTGCAGTGCCTGCTCCGCTCCTGCCTTAGGAACTTTGGTACCTACCTGCAGATTTCTCATGGCATGTTGGAGAAGGGCTAGAAATGGGACACCCATCAGTGCCATGCAAAGCTAAAGGAGCTGAGGCAGGCTTACTAGGAGGCAAGGGAGTCAAACTGTCACTCTGATGCTGCACCAAAGACCTGCTGCTTCTATTAGGAGCTGGAGGCCGTCCCTGGCAGTGGACCTCACCTCTACCACCAAGAGCCCCGTGGATACTTCAGCGGGGCTGGAGACAGCGGACAGCGGACTCAACCCAGAGGACGAAGTCGTGGACAAGAGGGTGATTTGGAGGAGGATGTGGAGCACACAGCAGAGTCGTCCAGTGATGCAGCAAGACAGGACCTCTTTTCCACTTCGGAAGGGTCTAGCCAATCCCAGCAGTGCATCTCTGGCACGCATGATGCAGGAGAGCAGAGCTCTGGTAAGTTATCTTTTTGAGTTGCTGCTGCTCGGTTATATGAGGTAGAGCTGTCCTTTGCTCTGTATATTCTAGACATGGGTGAAGGGATAGAAATGTACAAGACCTAGGTTCCCTTTAAGGTACGCGCCTGCGTGACCACAAAAGAGGCCAGCAAGGGCCATGCACTTAATTAGCAGAGCCACACAGGCGTACACTCAGGGATGTGGCCACAGGTGGGCCTGGAAGATGGCAGTGGGGTGAGATGAAGAATAGGGTGTAGGTGGGGGCAATGGGGGTGGTGATTGGGGACTTGGGGCGTGCGGGGCTGCAGCAATTCCCTCAGCCCCAGGGCTGCGGCAGGGTGAGACACCTCTCCCCTCTGAGTCCCGGGGCTGCGGAGGGGCGAGACACCTCCCCCCTCACCCGCCCAATTCCAGGGCTGCAGCAGGAAGAGATGCCTCTCTCTCCCAGGTCAGGGGCTGTGGTGGGGAGAGATGCCTCTCCCCACTCTTTCTACAGTAGAACCACTCCGGTTTAGCTGGGTTATTCAGAAGGGTAACAGGATTTGGTGCTTTGACATGTTCACACAGGTGGCCATTGCAGGAGGCTAGCCTACGGCCCTTCCCCTTGTGCCCAAGGCCCCATCCCTCCCTTTCTGCCCTCCCCCGCAGGAGCCCAGAGCACCTCCACCATGGCCCCCGGCCCCAGCACCGGGCAGCCAGGGGGCGAGACCCCAGCCCCTGGGTGTGCCAGGCAGCAGTGCTCCCAGCCCCAATGCTCCGGGCAGCACGGCCCCAGCACCAGCCGCCCTGACTCCCTCCCTGCAGGAGGCAGGCCAGCCAAGGCAGAGCACTTTGGGAACACAGGAGGTGGCCTGGCCTGGGGGTGGAGCATGGGCAGGGCCATGCTAGGCTGTTTGGGAAGGCACAGCCTACCCTTGCCAACAATACCCGCCACCCATGCATGTTCAGTATATCTAGATGCATAGGAAAAGATTCAATGTTGTCCTATTCAATTACTGACAAAGCCATGATCTGATTCCCTAGCAGAAAGTGTTATAATATAGTCTTGCAAATTAGAAAACTCAGGCTTTTACAATCCACATGCTCAATGGCAGTTATCTGCATAGCTCTTGTAACACAAAATGATACAAGGCCCAGTATTGTTTTTTAGCAAAAAGTGATACATAATACATAGATTAGTGAGAATGAATACCTAGCAGGGTCACCTTCAGATGCAGCTTCTGCAGCTTGTTAATAGAAGGGTACAGAAAGCTGCTTAAGTATAACCAGCAATTTAGGTTTTTTGTTTGTACTGATGGCACACATCCGCACTTTACCTCGATATTGGTGCTGCAAATAACACAGGGAAGGAAAAAAATTAGAGGGAACATTGTACAAGACTAGCTGTATTTGCGTGTGCTTCGCATTCCCCTGTGAATCTAAGCAATGCGGTGGAACAGTGTGTTAATGCACACCGAGATTTCAATAGAATCCTCCAGAGATCTCTAACACAAACTTTCCTGGAGGTACTCACCAATCGTCTGCCAATCGTTCCTTGGCAGAGCTGCTCTGTCCCTTCCCCCATTGTAGGAAATTTCCTGTGCCAATTGGCAATCACTGGTGCAGGGACCAAAGTGGCACACAGGCGAGCATCATAGGGACCAGGTCTGCAGCCACATGCCTGCAGGAGATGCACCCTTGCCTACCCTCAAGAGTGAGATATCAGCATCAATGACCCCTGCCTGTGGAAAATGGTGGCAACATTTACAATATTGTCCCTAGTTGCTTGCAGTGATTCCCTTAAAGAAAAAAAAACTAGATCCTTTGCCCCACCCAGGGCCGGCTCCAGGCACCAGCTTGCCAAGCAGGTGCTTGGGGCAGCCACTCTGGAGAGGGGCGGCACGTCCAGCTATTCGGCAGCAATGCGGCGGACGGTCACTCCCACTCCCTCACTCCCACTTGGAGCGAAGGACCTTCCGCCGAATTGCCGCCGCAGATCACGATTGCGGTCTTTTTTTTTTTCCGCTTGGGGCAGCAAAAACCCTGGGGCCGGCCCTGGCCCCACCTTGAGCACGCCCCTGGACCAAACTCACCATGTTTAGGGTGTTCGCCGAGCTGCGTGCTTGCCAAGGGACAATGAAAAACTGATTTGTATGTAAAAAGAGGTGTATTTTATTATAACGATTTGATGCTGTGCGTAAACTAACAATCATGGTCCGATGTAATGTTTCTTGTGCTTCTGCAGATATGGCCTTCAGGGGAACCCCCTATGCACCAGGGGCGCGCCTCCACCAGATGAGGAAGCGACCAAGGACATGCATAGAGAGGCCACCTTTCCATCCCACTCTATTTCAGGCACTTGCTGCCACCTCCTCCCTCATGCTAGGGGGCTCTGTGTCCCCCCGCCCAGACCTTCCCCCATACTAGGGGCTCCGTGTCCCCCCGCCCAGACCTTCCCCCATACCAGGGGCTCAGTCCCCCTCCCCCATGCCAGGGGCTCTGTATCCCCCGCCCTCCCGATCTTCCCCCATACCAGGGGCTCCGTCCCCTCCCCCATGTCAGGGACTCTGTATTCCCCCCCCCCAATCTTCCCCCATACCAGGGGCTCTGTCCCCCTCCCCCCATGTCAGGGACTCTGTATTCCCCCCCCCCAATCTTCCCCCATACCAGGGGCTCTGTCCCCCTCCCCCCATGTCAGGGACTCTGTATTC